ACGCACGCACACACACACACACAAAGGGCACACACACACAAAGCGCGTACACACAACACACACACATACACACACACATCACACGCGACCCACCCAACCTCCAGGCCAGTTTCTGGTGGAGCTCCAGGGCCTCAGGCCAGGCCGGTACCACTACAAATTCATAATCGACAACACCTGGGCGGTGGACCCGTTCGCGGCCAAGGACCTGGACGGCTCGGGCAACTGGAACAACGTGTGCGAGGTGGGCCGGCCGGGGGCTAACGGACGCGACGCCGGTGCCGCGGCGTGTTGATGGCGTGCGTGGGTGGTGTGGGTGTGGTGCTTTCTGATGCGCGGGCGGCTGTCGGAGGTTCCAGCATGGGTGATGTGCCAAGATCTTCTGATGGACCAATCTGATTATTAGCAGCGGCAAGATGGATGCCTTGCATGGGACAGCACGCCTGGCTTGACACGCACGGCGCGGCCGGTCGTGCAGGTGCGCCCTCCTCCGCGGATCGAGACGCCAGAGGAGCGGCGGCACTTCGCGGCGCTGCAGGCCGCGATGATGGCGTTTGAAGCGAAGATGGGCATCGGCTCGGGCGCGAGGGCCGGCCGCATGAAGCGGGGCTGACGCGGTTCGGCACTGGTGCTTGTGGACAAAGTGCCATGGGATGCTGACAGCTGCATGACCCTGACGTGCACGCAGCGCAATCAAGGCCCTGCTTGCCGCCCCTCTGGTTTGCGGCAGCCTCGGCTGTTCATTGTGAGGGGGGCTTCATTGCTCCAGCGTGGCCCCTTCATGCTAGCGGCATGCGGCATCCCGCCGCCGCGCATCGCATCACCCCCAAACCCACCCTTGCAATTGCTGCACGCACGCACTGTCTGCTTTGCCCCCAGCGCTCCTGTGAGGAGGGGCGCTCGACCCGCAATTTTGACGCGGCCGGCTGCCGCATGAAGTAAGAGGCAATCCGTTCAACGGGTCGTGAACGTCACCCAATATGCAGCGGGCCTGGGGGCTGCCGGCGCTGTCCAGGCTCGAGTCGGCGGTTTTCTAATCGAGCAGTTTTGGACTCGTGAGCATGGGCCTCGCGCCCCCGCGTGCTCGCCCGGTGCGCTTGCATGCCAGCTTCCAACTCGGAGTAAGTTTTCTGATGGACGTCGGGGGCAGCGGAGTCCGCCACTGTCAGCTCGTCATCTTTACGAGCGCTGTGGGAAGGATGGAAGCGGGGCGGCTGGACGGCCCCCTTGCGTTGCAGTCATGGGCATACGTGGGCCATCTTCTCGTTGAGTAAAAATTTCAGACGCTGCTTACATCCCGTTTTCAACAATTGAGCCGAACCCCGCGCAGGCCAGCCATCTTGGTTCTTGGATCATTGGGCCCAACGCCTGCCTGAGCAGGCGAATCAGAACAGGAGAAAAATGATTGACGATGGTGCATCCACGCAGCCTGTAAATACCAGGTGTGCCTGCATGCTGGGCAACCCCCAGCGCGCTCATCAGGCATTCCAACCCTGCTGCCAACGCTCTGCGGTCGATTCAATCGCGCGTAGCGCATATGATATACTCTCATACTTGCGTCAATTGACGGTGCAAAGAAGTGGCGGGTGCATGCGGTTCTAACGAAGCTGTGCCCGCGCCGCGCTGCCGCTGAGCCGCTGCCTTGCGCCGACGACGTCAGCGCATCGATGCAGGCCAACACTTTCTTCTGTTCAGACAGCACTGCTTGCTCAATACCCACGCCACGTCGCGCCATGATGCGCCAGTGCGATCCGGGTGCGCACGTGTTGACTTGGATCTGTGCTGCGCCCCGCCGACTGTGTGAGCCCCCATCCTGCGCGACCTCGCCCCTGCCCTTCAACAGGATATACTCTGATGGGCGATCCAAGGACTTCAAGCAGGGATGGGTGTCTTGGATCATCGCAATCGTCACCATGACCATCTACACAGGTGGGCAAGCTTGGGAGTAGCCATCGTGTCAGGTCGCAAACGCGGGCAGAGGGGCTGCATGCACCCCTGTATCTCTGAGGCAGCAGAAAGTTAGGTCATCGACAATAAGGACTATGGGAAAAACCAGTTCAGGCCGCAAGCTTGTGGGCTTCGCCAGGACCCCGCCGGAGCTGCTCCCAACGCGCCGCGCGTTTCCCGCCAAAACGCCGCAGGCTGGATGCACATCCTGATCGGCCTCACCCTGGGCTGCTTCTTCAGCCGCACCTGCCTGCTGGTGTACCTGGGCATCATGTCGACGCTGCTGCTGCCCCCCAAGCCGGTGCTGTGGACGGCCTTTTGCCAGTGCTGGGTCTTCCGGACGTGGCGCGAGTACTTTAACTTCTCGTGAGCAGTTACAGCGTGAAACAGCGGGCGACGCGTTTTTTGCCTATGAACAAGCAGCAGCAGCGGTGGCAGCAGCAGCGGCGGGGATGGGGCCAGCTGCGGCAGCGGCAGCGGCAGCGGCAGCGGCAGCGGAAGCGGCAGCACCAGTAGCAGCAGCAACAGATGTTTGATGTCACCCGGGGCTCTCCAAGGTCGCGCGGCCAGGCTGCTCCCCGGGGCTCGCTCACCCAGGCGCCCGCAGCTGCCCCGGGCACCCCGCCAGCAACCGCCACGCCGGCCGTTTGCATTGGCTGACACGTGTCAGCCGCAAGATGGGATTCAGACGGGCTGCTGGCAGCAGAGCGAGAGAGGCCCAGTTGCGGCACGTGCCAGGAACCCACAGCGGAGCCTGCGCGTGGCGGTATGGTGCACGTTTGGTTGGAACAGGACGGTCGTCGCAGCATCACGTCGCGTCACATTACATCACATTTGCACCCGCTGTCACAATCTGTTCCCTGCGGCAACACGCAGGTACCTGAATGAGACGCTCCTGGACAACACTAAGACCTACATATTCGTGGAGTTCCCACACGTGAGCCGCGGCGCGACACACACGCACAACACACGCGCCACACACGCGCCGCATACGCACAACACACGCGGCCGCGAAACGGCGTGGAACCACCCCCTTGTTTGGCGGGCGCGCCGGACGCCCGCCGGGCACCGCACCACGGCGCCCACCAGAGCGCAGGCGCGCACCTTTCCACCTGCCGTTGCCGGCCCCTCCGAGCCGCCTGTTTTGTTGGTCAGTCAAACCCCCATTCTTTCTCAAACCCGGGGCGCCCCGCTCCACTGACGCCCGCGGCGCCCGCGCGTCATCCACCGCCGCGACCCCAGGGAGTTTACCCCATGAGCGAGCTGATCGCGGGCACGCTGTGCCAGGCGATCTGGCCGTCCTTCAACATCTACTCAGTGGCGGCCAGCAGCGTCTTCAGCATCCCCTTCTGGTGAGGCCGCCAAATTTTCAAATTTTAAAACTTGCGCCCGCACGGCGCTGCGCTGCTGCCGCGTGCGCGGTCTGGGCGTGTGGAGCGCACATGCGTGCCTTGGCCTCACTCGCTTGCGCCAGGGTGGCATTGAGGACGCGGACGCAATGCGACGATCAGCATTCAATGTTTTATCTGTCATCATCAACTCCATATGCTCAAGAGGGACTCCTCCGCACGTCCGCATGAATGGCGCGGCGAATGTTTGCGTAACGCAATGCTGTGACCTCGAAGGGGACGCACCCGCGCCTGCACCGCCCCCGCCCCGCTCGCCGACCCGCATTCCCTGCGCGGCGCCTGCCCCCGTCGTCCCCTCCCCCAGGCGCCACTTCATTGCGTGGATGGGCAGCGTGCCCGCCACCCGGGGCAACTTCAAGCGCATCCTGAAGAAGGGCAGCGTGGCCGTGGTGGTCGGTGGGATCGCAGAGATGTGAGTGGCTGCGCCGTGGGCCCTTGGGTGTTGCAATAGGCGTACGATGGGCGTGCACTGGGCTTGCACTGGGCTGGCAATGCGCTGGCTGTCTCATGCCTGCAAGTCTCATGCCCTCATGGACGAGATGCCTTGGTAACCAAGGGAGCATGGATGCCCTAAGGCAGCGTAGGTGTCGGGGCGTCGCGCCGGGGGCAGGGGCACGCGGCCACGGCTCCCCTGACCCACCACCTACATC